GAGCATTGCAGGGGTACCTAGAAGGTCTAGAAGAAAGTGCAGATGCATTCCCAGGGAGCCGATGTGGCCCTACCTGTCCTCTGGAAGTGCCCTGGAAAAGCCAGCCCTGCTGTAGCACCAGGTTCCCTTCTTAGATGCTGGCCCAGGTTCTGGCATGATTGAGAGAAAAGAAGACCCTACTGGCTAAGACCCAATGGTGGTCTCCTGCTGGCAGATACCAACAACAGAGAAGACATCCAGTTACCTCCAGTTGCTGGTTTCTGGGAAGAGCAGTTTCCTCATATCTGTGCCAGGCACATGGGGCTCTGATGACTTCTCTGAGGATTCACTGCTTCCCTAAGTACACCCTCTACCACCCAGTGCTGGAGAAGCATTGAGTGGGGGCGGGGTATAGAGCCCTTTGCACCTGTAAGAAGTGAGAAGCACTGTGCCTCCCTCAGGAAGGTTCTTAGCCAAGATCCTCAAGCAACAGTCTGAAAAGCAGTCTCCACATGCTCTTTCCAGAGAAGTTTCTGCCTGGCCCCAAAACATTTATGGCTGCATGCCATTTTGTTCTAGGTAATCTATACATTCCCCAAATTTGCAACTCCAGGGTTTGAAAATTTGTTTTGTTTAAAGATCTTAATGGGTTAATGTGTGATGAAAATATTGGGCAACAATTAAATTTCATAAAATATAATTAATGTTCCTAAATTTAATTTTGATAAATTAAAAAGGAAAATTATTATGAATAGACAAGGTGACCTCACATCTAATGTTCAGGGTGAACAATTTCAAAATCTCACAGGCAGAGTTCTATAAAGTTATAATTGACATTTACAGAAGAGATCTTTCCAACAGCTTCCTGGCCTGCTTTCTTTGAGTTCCAAATGCTTTCTCCAGTGCTTAGTAGTTAATCATTATTGGGAATTCTGACAAGAATGTCAAATTCTGCTTTTGTAAAAGTACAGATAAAGGAACCTCCCATTTGTTGTGACATTTTACTGGCCGGTCCCTCTTTCCTGGCCGGTCCCATCTGATGGGGCTCACAGTCCTCCCAGGGCAGTGACCTGTCCAGCCAGGCTAGCTCATTCCTCCTGGAGTGGATGGAGTCAGGCCAGCCAAGCAGACCCACATGGGAAACGGAGTTCAGAAGCAAATGGTGGCAAGAAAGTGAAATGAATCCTCGCACTGATTTCATCTTTGAAGTAAATCGTATACATCTTTCAAAATCAAGATAATTGTTCTTCTAGAAATACCTTCACTTGTATGTGGCTTTGATAAAAGCCTTTATTTTAAACTCTAGATCATATGTGACTTACGATATCACAGAAGAGACCTAGGTTGGAAAAAAGCTGTAGGATGATGATCTGCTTATTTGAGCCCAGAGAGGTGGCATTTATTATAGGGAAATACAACGGCTTCTGAGTTTGCCTTGGGAGATGTCTGGCCCACCATCATTAGACCCCAGATCTTATGCTGTGACTACCAGTATATTAGGCCTGAATGAATGAGTGATCACCAGATATTCTCCAAGGAAAGGACTAGAAATCTCAGCCAGCATTACACATAGCCAAGAACGACAGAGTAGGTCACTCTAACAAGTCAATATGGATACGCTTTTGCATTTAACCCTATTTCAACATTTTGAGGAAGAAGATATAGTTATAACCATACCAACTTCAAAACTAAGCAGTCTTTTATTGAGTTTATTGGTACATTCTAGGTATACAGTGCAGTTACATTCATTACTGGGATCTTGTAAACTGAGCAGTCTTAAGCGGTATCTGACTGTCTCGGTCTTAGTGGTTTGGGCTATGGTGGTCTCGTACTTATCCACCCACAGTGTGGGTGTCAAAGGGTTATTTTTACTTCAGCTTTATAAAATGTGGAACGAAGTAATTCTGAATTCCTCGTGGGTGTAACGTTTTTCCTAAACAGACTGAATCTTAAATTTAGATGTGGTTACTGAATAACATGGAGGAGGAAATATCAGTGTTGCCTGAAATCTCATAAGTCTAAGACCAAGTACAGCAGAATAATGAATTATTGTGCACCAAGCAACACTATTTATCAATGGGCTGGATTGTAGGCACAAATCTAGGGAGTGTGTGTAGGAAGTGTAAAGAACTCAGATGGAAATAAATCCTTGGAGAAGAGGGACACACCCAATGTCAGCAAGCACAGAGTGTCAATTATGTACCTAATTTTTCTGGCCAAGCACACTGGAGGGAGGGAGGCCCTGGATTTTTGGAAGGCTCTCTCTAATGAGGGTTCACAAAACTAAAGGCAAAAGAGAACATGCTGTTTCAAGAATGATTTGAAGGGCAAAAACCTTATGCACATAAAATGCCTAACACTTGGAAATAAAAGCTTAACAGGTATGCAGAGCTAATTCGTGCATTGTGCTATTCAGACAAACCCCAAAATCCCTTTCAAGAGAAGCAGTTAGGGCTGCGGTACTTCCAAGGGTACCCTGAGGAGGGGAGGCTCTGGAAATTGAACAACAGAAGCTGGAGTTATTCTGTTATTCAATCATGACAGCATTTACTAAATTCAGTGGTTCTGGCATTATCCCATGTGTTCATTCATTTCACCTTCAGAATAATCTTGCAAAATTGGTTAAAATTTGCATTTATATTATTTAATTAATTAACTTTTTTACTGGATTACATACTGACATGACACCACGTTTGAAAAGGACAGAGGTTATTTCATTGAGCAAGTGTGGGGATACCATCGTGCCCCTTCTTCCCCCCTGGGACAGCAGCTGCCAATAATGCTTTAATGCACTTCTTTCCAGATATAATATGAGAAATGCATATAAATGCTAACAGGCTGTGCTCTTATTTTCTACTTTGTAGTTAGTGATATGTTTTTTTTATCTGCACCAGATAGCACTCCATACCTTGGAGACTGGTCCATGTCTGGACATATGGACCTACTTCATTTACTTTAATGATTGCATAGAATTTCCTTACATAAATGAGCCATAATTTATTCTGACTCATTTATATAATAAAGAGCTCTTGGACTGTTGCCAATCCTCTGCTTCTAAAACCATGCCTCAGTGGAGAATACATGCTTCCATGCATGTGAATTGGCCAGTTTTGCAAGACAGGTCCTACATCTCCCAAGACCCCAGGCAAAGGCCTTCCTTTCTCAGCTTCATTCCAGAATGAGGATACTCATCTCTTAGGTCTTCTCTTAGACCAGGCTTTAAGATGACTGTAAAGGCACAAATCATTACATTCTTTTCACCAATTTTTTGGCAATATAATTTTTAAGTATTTTTCATACTATCATTTAATGATCTTATTTATATACTACAATACAGTAAATATATTTTAAATTTCTCAGTTGTAATTTCTAACATTGTAAATATCAATCAATAGAAAGGCAAAGCTCTTTGGGGCCTTCAGTAATTTTTTCGGGGGGTGGGGAGGCTTTGAAATAGGGTCTCACTTTGTAGTCCAGACTGCCCTGGAACTCACTATGTAGCTCAGGCTGGTCTCCAGCTCTAGGCAATCCTCCTGCCTCAGCCTGCCAAGTGCTGGGATTACTGGAGTGTGCCACCACACCTGGTGGTCCTCAGTAATTTTTAAGGCATAAAGTGGCCCTGAAACCAGGAAGTTTGAAAGTTGCTGCCATGATTAACAATGCTAGAGGTAGAATTGGTAGGTAAAAATGATGTGAATTTATATTTCAATAGATACTGTCAAATTTCTTTTCCTATAAGTTCTACCAGATGCATTCCCACCACCATTGGAAAAGATACCCATTTCCTCTTGAAAAACAGCAGTAGTGTTGATCTTTGTTTACTAAACTGATATTGTTGAAAATATTTCTTCACTGTAGTTTAAATTTACATTTTTCTTACTTTATATGCTTGAGTATATGTTGACGTAGTTGAGAGCTCACAACATTTTCTTCATAGCAGATTCTCTGTGCATACTGTTTGCCGTTTTCCACTTTAATATTTGCTGACTTACTGATCTCTGGGTGTTCTCTATCTGTACCCTCTAGTTTGCAAATCTCTGCAAACTCATCCTGGATTGGATCTATTCCCGAAATTTCTATTCTATTTGTTGTTTTCTGTGACCAGGCAAGGAAGAATTTCTGGCTATTTGGACTCTGATTGATCTGGCTGCCTTGCAGAAACAGGAGTGTGTGCCCAAGGGAGTATTTAATAAAAGCCCAATATTGGAGAAGCTGAAGCTTTGTAAGGGAGGAGCTACAGAAACTCTGAAATTCCATACCAGCATTTCAGAGCAGATTCACAGCAGCGTAGCCCAGAGGGCTCCAGTGCCATAGTGATTTACACACAAGCCCACTGTGTAGCTGCTTTGGTATGTACTGCAAAGCAGAGTATTAGTGACTACTGAGCAAGACATCCAGGAGCAAGGGACAATAAAATTTGTCTCTGAAAATTAAAAGAATGTGGAATCTTGAGTAAACCCAATAGTCTTAATATTACACATGAAAAAAATTGGAGCCAGACAGATAATTAAAATTGCCCAAGGCTACCAAGATAAAAGACTAGAATCAAAATCTTGATCTAATTCTTTCTACTGTTTCATGCCTAGAAAACATATTTCTTAGGAACTTTAAAATCACTATTAAAAATTCCTGCAGTGAGATGTGTTCACGCCTCTGTCTTTTGCACTGTTCTTTATCATTCCTTGCTTCCATCGAAATTGCTTTCAATGTTACTGCCTGTCACTGAGGCAGCCAGCTGATGTCTCCCAAGGTCTGGGGACACTGCATTTTCTAACAGGGATGTGTTCCTTGGTGGTTTTCGCAGACCAGAACAGCTGGGAAACAGCTGACAAAGGACCACAACAGGCAGTCCTGGTGATTGTCTACCAAGAGTGGTACTTTTTCCTTTTCACAGTTTAACATCTTTAGTATAGTGATGTGTCTTACAATTAGCTACAGTTGCTGTTGGCCTAAAATTGTATCATGGTTTTGGCAGCAGGTGCAGGAAAATACATAATAACAAAATTTAGAATCAGCTAGGTGGTGCCAGTTACAGCACCAAACAGACTAAAGCTGAAAGGACACTTAGAAAATCAGCACAGCCCCTGTGCAAGGATGACAAGCAAATTCATGAAGCATTCTGTAGTTTTGGAAATAAAGAGCAACCAAATAGGAGAAGTGGAAGCCCTATTATTGTTCGAGAATGACATGATCTTGTATTTGGAATACTCTGAAAGCCTTCCTCACAAGACCAAGAAAAGTAATAAAGTAACCAGAGTCCTAGGACACAAAATCAATATATTAAAATCAGTAGCATTTCTAAATTGCCATAGCAAATTATCTGGATAAGAAATCAAGAAAGCAATCCCATTTATGATAGCTACTGAAAGAAAATTCTCTAGGATAAATTTATCTGAAGACATGAAAGATCTTTACATTGAGAAATTGAAATACAAGAAACTGAAAAGACCCCACCCACAAAAAGACATCCATGTTCATAGACTGAAAGAATCAATATTGCTAAAACGTTCATACTTCCCAAAGTTACCTACAAATTCAATGCAATCCTTATCAAAATACCAATGACATTCTTTACAGAACCAAAAGAAGATAACCCTAAGTATTTTCAGTACTATAAATTGAACCCAGAAGTTCTTGCATTGAGTTACAATCACAGTCTTTTTAAATTTTTTTTTAATTTTGAGACAGGGTCTTGCTAGGTCAACAAGTTATACAATCTGGGCTTGAAGTTGAGATCCTCTTTCCTCAGACTTTCAGAGAGCTTGGATTATAGATGTGCACCACTACAGCCACCTTTATCTTGAAATTCTTTTGGAACCATAAAATAGAATCCAACTAGCCAAAACGATCTAGGGGGTAGAGGGAAACAAAGCCTAAGGAATCTCATTACTTGACTTCACGATATACTACAATACAGTTGTAACAGATGCCAATACTGGCATAAAAACAGATACATAGATTAATGGAACAGAATGCCTAGAAGTAAACTTATGCATGCACAGATAGATGATCTTTGACAAAGGGGCTAAGAACATAGTTGGGAGAGAGAACAGCCTCTTCATTGAACAATACTGGGAGAACTGGATACCACACACAGAAAGATGAAACTATACCCTTATCTCTTACCAGTCACAAAAGTCAACACAAAATGGAAAAAATAAATAAATGTAAAACCCGAAACTGTGAAACTTCTAAAGGAAAACATAGGGAACATGTTTTGGGACATTGGAACAGGAAAGACTTTTTGGTTAAGATCTCAAAAACACCAGAAACAAAACCAAAAATGGACAAATAGGATTACATCAAATCAAAAAGTTTCTGCACAGTAACAAAACAACAGAGTGAAGAAACAACTTGCACAAGGTAAGAAAATATTTACAAACTCTACATTCAATAAGTTAATATCCAGAACATGTAAAGAACTCAAGAAACTCAATAGCAACAACAACAACAAAAAAATTGATTAAAATAAACCAGAAATGCAAATGGACATTTCTCAGGACACATATGAATGACCAACTACAACAAGTACATGAAAATATGCTCAATAACATTTATCAGGGAAATTTAAAATAAAAACCACAATGAGATATCATTTCACTGCAGTTAGAATGACTATTATTATTATTATTATTATTTGGTTTTTGGAGACAGAGTCTTGCTATGTAGTTCAGCCTGGCCTTGAATTCTCACTGTGTAGCCCAGGCTGGTCTCAAATTCAAGGCAGTCTTTCTACTCAGCCTCCCAAATGCTGGGATTAACAGGCCTGGGCTGTCACTCTTGGCAGAATGACTATTATTAAAATGACTACAGATAACCCAATCCTTATCTAAATACCAGCCCTGGCAAAACTATGGAAAAATAGAAACATTTGTATCATGTTGATAGGAATGTAAATTAAGATAGCTATCATAGAAAACAGTGTGGAGATTCTTCCAAAATTAAAAATACAACTGCAATATGACCCAGCAATCCTACTACGGGGTCTAACAAAGGGAAATGAAATCTGTATATCAAAGAGACAACTACACTCCTATGCGTATTGCTACATCGATGACAATAGTCAAGAAATAGAATCAGTCTAAGTATCCATCGACTGATGAGTGAACAAAGAAAATATGATACTATATACTGTATAGTACTATTCAGCCAGAAAAGTATAAAATCTGTCATTTTCGACCACATGGATGAACCTGGAGATCATTATGTTAAGTAAAGCAAACAAGGCACAGGAGGACAAGTGCCATAGAATCTCTGTATTAGTCACTTTCCTATCACTGGGACACAATGCTAGACACCTACAGTTTAAAGGAGAAGACGTTTATTTTGGCTCACAGTTCAGAGCAGTGTTTGTCTGGGTCCAAGGCAGAAATAGTATGGCAGAAGGGCCTATGGAGGATAGCTAGCTGTTCAGCTGAGGGCAGCCAGGAATCAGAGAAACAAAGAAGCTGGGAAGGGAGACATACCCTTCCAGGTCATGCCCCAGTGACACGCCCACCTCCCAACAGCACATTCACTTATGAACTCTTCAATGGGTTGATCCACCGAGAAGTACAGTGACCTCATGTCCAATCACCTTCCAAATGTCTCCCCTCCAAACACTGGGAAACTTCAGGGAGCCATTCTTGATCTCAACTGTAGCTCTCTTACTGTATGTAGAATCTAAAAATGTTGATCACCTAGAGATTGAAATCAGAATTGTGGTTACCAGAAGCTGGGGTAATAGGGCAGAGAGAGAAGGATGGGAAGAGGTTAGCCAGTGGGTACTAAGGTGCAGTTAGATGGCAGAAAGGACTTTGCTGTGCTACTCAGGATAGTAGGGTGATCATAGAAAACAATAACATACTGTATATTTCAAAAAACCTGAAAGAAAGGATTGTGGATGTTTTCATTACAAAGAGAGGATAAACATTTCAGATAGATATCATAACCCTGATGTGAACATTACCAAGTTTATACATATATAAAAACTTCACATGGTATACCATAAATATGTATAATTTTTATGTGAAGAAGAATGTAAACATAAAAAAGGACAAAAGAAAAACAAGAAGCTGGATAAATAGCACAGGGACTTATTACCCAGTTCCATGGCTAGATCTCCATAATCCTTGGCTTCTATTCACCCATTTGAGGGATTGATGAGTTTAGTTGTTCTCTGGAACCCTTTCTTGCCCCTCTACTAAGACCATAAAGCACCAGTATCACACCTTGAGACCACAATGTTAACAGAACTAAATCTGACACAAGCAGAAGTATCACACGGTTTCTAGTATATGAGAAACCTAAAGTGTAATTTAAAGAGCAAAATAAAAAATGGACAATACAAAATAGGGAGATACATCCTTTACAAAGAGGAAGGGGATCTAGAGATGGCGGGAGAGGGCAGGAGGGGAAGTAAAGAGAGTTAAGATGTATGATGTACATATGTAGTATACCGACTACCTATGATGAATGTCATCATTACGTCCAGCACACATGAACCAATAAACATTTAAAAATCAGCATCAGAATTTACAGAATGGGTGTTAGCAGCTTGCAGACACAATGGGAGATAGCAGTGGTGCCTGTTTCTAAGAGATGCTTCCTTATCCTGGCTCAGAGGCTGGCCCTGGAAGGCACACACAGGATAGGATGATTGGATGGGGTGGATGGGGTGTGAGGCAGCTAGGTACTGAACTTGGAGGAGTTGTGAAAGCATCATAACCTCCAAATTTTCCTTCTCATTTCTATGCACAAAGGAACACATTGTAAATCTTACAACTAAATAAAAAATTTTTAGTAAATATTGCAATTGTGTGTCAAAAGAATTCAGTGTCTCATAGTTTAGTTGGCAGTGTATTTCTGCCTTCTTGTGGCACAAAAAATTATGGTGAGTTCTATGCATCAGGAGGCTAATTTCTAAAGAAGAAATTGTGGTAAGGATTTTAAGAAATTATGATGGAACGTTCATGATTCTTTGTCCACGTGGCAGTTAACTCACTTCTCCCCTGGCTAGCTATACTGCTTGGGGATGTTTATGTGACTGCAATGAGATCAAATTGTTACCTGATTTTTTTTCTAAGTAGGAGATCAGACACCGTGGATCTTGACTTACAAGAAGAAAAAAGGCCTTAGAACTGTGTAGTCTCGTGGCTATGTAACTACAACAGCTTCTTTTGGGAGTCATAGTGAACATGTCAACTATAAAGAAATTCCTAGTTACTATTTTAAAATTGATTTCATGCCCTTTTTAAAGGAGGGATTTAAAGAGTCTCATCTCTCTCCTCACAAAATAATTGTTTTCATACATCCTTTGATTATAATGTCCATCTGACTTGTATTTCTTCACTCCCATTTAATGAGTCAAAGCTCTTTAAACATTTTAAAATTGTTAACAGCCATCTTTACTTCATTTGTCCTAATAGTTGTTGATGTTACTGTGGTTTTCATCATTCTGAAACATAAACCTAGAATCTCAGTAAACTCACACAGAGCTGAAGGTCCAGCCCCACCCCAGCTGTCATTCATGTGCCAGGCAGGCCTTGTCCTACAGACACAAGCCTCACCCTCCACCCCTAACTCTTTTTAATTGAGTATTTCCAATGCAATGAGGTTCTCCCAAAAGAATCTTCCAAGGATGCTTTTATTTATTTATTTATTTGGTACCAGGGATCAAACTTGGGACCCTGTGCTTGCGAGGCAGGCAGCAGATCCACTGAGCTAAATCCCCTGAGAATCCCTCAAAGGATTCTCTTAAAGGACAAATACTTTTTAAAAAAATATGAATTTAATCATCAACCCTTATTTCACCAGTGATGGCCTTTGATGCCTATTTTTTAAACAGGGGATAACTGTGTTGGACTGTTTCTTCCTAAGTTTCCATCTTTAAATACTTCTGCAAGAGCAACTGAAGAATCTACATCTTAGTGTCCAAACCACAAGACTGACATATCTGAGGACTGGTCTGAAGACAAGCAAAAGATTTAAAATCCTGGAAAAGAGGGGCATCGCCTGCACTAACACAGCCCCTATCGCCCCTCTGGTGATCATCACGATTGTGGCAGAGCATTTGTCCTTTCGGTGCAGTGAGGACTGTACAGCTGGGACTGAGTGAGCTCCACTGTCATGTTAAATTACTACTCACACT